AATTATAAGGAAAATACATTAACCGCTGGGGCAATAAATTTTGACCACAGGGCCATTATTTTAACAATCTTGGTATAGGCAGAACTTGAACAATTTCGACATAGAATTTATGATAAAGTTTGTGTACAACCTCAAATATTTTCAAAGTCCATTGACATATGGCTTTGAAACTTTGTACTATTGTTTACCATCATGACCCCAACATGTCTCTTTAAAACATTTTGACAGAGTTATGCCCCTTTTTCGACATGGAATTTAAATTGTAAATTAGTTTGTGTACTACCTTAAATATTTTCAAAGTCCATTGACATATGGCTTTTAAACCTCGCACACTTATTCACCATCATGCCCCCAACCTGTAGACAGGAGGAGGTAACTCTATCGAGTACTTTGACAGAAAAATGCCCCTTTTTCGTCTTTTTGAATTTATGTTAATTTTCATACCACCTCAGATATGTTCATATTTCATTGACCTGTGCTTTGAAACAAGTTGAAATTTTATACATTGCTTTGAGAGTATAATAGGAGTCTCTTCAATGCCTATAACTGTAACATGGATTTGAAAAAAAAGATCCTTTGTGAACTTTTTACTTTTTAAAAATTTTACATTATCAAGGCTATTTTACTATCAAGCATTAAGAATAGTCAAGCGTGCTGTCCTAAATACATCTCTTGTTACTATTACTGGCAATAACTTTGTTATTCTAGAGTGGTTTGAAGTTGTCATTATTTTGTTATTAATGTACTTATTTGATTCATATGTGGACAAAACAATACTTGTGACCAAACTGAACTTTCTGAACTTTGTCATTTATTTATGGAAATGTTTCATACTTGGACAAAACAACAAATATGGCCAGACATATAACCCCCATTTTCTAAATCAATGCAATGATGGTAATGATTAGGAAGTGCTTATGTGCTGAACTGTAGACAGAATGTTTGTTTCTTTGCTGTTTACATAAAATGTGCTGTAATTTTTAAATGCCATGATTGGAAGATCTGCCCATTGTGCCATATATCATTACTGTTGTTTATATCCATTTCCAATCACTGCTCATATGGTTAATATGGTGAATTTATCATCTTGTCAATATTTCAGAGCTTTTCATTTTTGCATTCGGACCGTTATTCATGCATGTTTTGAAGTCCTAAACTGTCTCAATATTAAATGACATGCCAACAAGTTTACCATCCAAGGTATAAAGACTGTTCATTATAAGATCACAATACCATTTTGCCACTCACGATTTCTTATGCCAATATACTAGGACTGTTCATCATGCAACATAAAAACTTTTCATTTATTATTGAATGATAATAACAACTACTATTTATGCAACTTGTTTATTCACTATAAACATAATTATATATAACATAATTATATATAACATAATTGTATATAACATAATTGTATATAACATAATTATATATAACATAATTATATATAACATAATTGTATATAACATAATTATATATAACATAATTGTATATAACATAATTATATATAACATAATTGTATATAACATAATTATATATAACATAATTGTATATAACATAATTATATATAACATAATTGTATATAACATAATTGTATATAACATAATTATATATAACATAATTGTATATAACATAATTATATATAACATAATTGTATATAACATAATTGTATATAACATAATTATATATAACATAATTGTATATAACATAATTGTATATAACATAATTATATATAACATAATTGTATATAACATAATTGTATATAACATAATTGTATATAACATAATTATATATAACATAATTGTATATAACATAATTATATATAACATAATTGTATATAACATAATTGTATATAACATAATTGTATATAACATAATTATATATAACATAATTGTATATAACATAATTGTATATAACATAATTGTATATAACATAATTGTATATAACATAATTGTATATAACATAATTGTATATAACATAATTATATATAACATAATTGTATATAACATAATTATATATAACATAATTGTATATAACATAATTATATATAACATAATTGTATATAACATAATTATATATAACATAATTGTATATAACATAATTGTATATAACATAATTGTATATTACATAATTGTATATAACATAATTGTATAACATAATTATATATAACATAATTGTATATAACATAATTATATATAACATAATTGTATATAACATAATTATATATAACATAATTGTATATAACATAATTGAGATTGATGAGTATCAACATTCATGCTCTACGGCCAGTAAACCTTGAATTAAATCACAGAATATTATTCATATTTCACAGAAAAATTCATGCAACCAGTTATACTAGAAATATATCATCAATCTTCTTTTGTAAAAGTCAATGCATCATCCAGTATGAAATTTTCAAATGTTTTTTAAAACACCAACAAAAGCATACACTTATTACTGTATTATCGTTTAATTCATATCTATTTTATTATCTACTCTAACAAATCTGTTTTCAATTTACAGTAAAAATTAAGAATTGCAAGTTATGAAAATGTCCCGATTTAGCGAGTTGTGCACCAAAAATTCTGAAATCAAAATTGTCTTAATTTACTGACAACTTACTGACAAATGCAGAAATTCCAACTTAACTTTAATATAATGATTTAATGTTCATGGAATTCATTAAAACAAATCAATGTGTATCAAAGTCTTTAATGGGGCCAGGGCTTTTTATTGAATATAAGATGTTGCCCTTTGCTCACAACCAACATATGATTCAAACAATCTATGTTCAGAATCTTGTGGCAAAATAGGATGGCTTCAAACAGTTTTTACACAATAATTATGTCAAGGAAAAAAAACCTGCAAAGCTGATTCAAAATTGAATATATATCAGAAACCGTTATGTTTTTAGCTCACCTGTCACAAAGGAAACATCTTCTACTGAGTAACTACCAAGTTTGGTCAAATGAAAGCCCTTGGGTCAAAATTGTCCCTGCCCCTGGGGTCATTGATTTTCCTTATATGTATAAAGTAAAAACATAAAAAATCTTTCAAAAAATCTCAAAGCACTAGAGCTTTGATATAAAGCACGAAACATCTTCCATTGAGTTTCTACCAAGTTTGCTCAAATAAAAGCCATGTGGTCAAAACTAGCCCCGCCCAGGAGGGGGGTTGTCATTGATTTTCAAAAAAAAAAAAAATAAATAGACAAATAAAAAAAAGAAGCTAGAGCTCTAGGTAAACATCTTCTAATGAGTGTCTACCAAATTTGTTTAAATAAAAGGTTTGCAATCGGTAATTTTCGCAACAACGTAGAATAATCCCTGTCAACAGATTAGAACAACGAAGTGTTAGTTCTATGAATGCTAAAAATAATGTGTTTGAAAGTTTTTGTTGTAAATTACATTTTCTTTGGTAATCTAATGAATATGATTTTCCTCTAATGCGCCGATTATTTCAATTGACATAAATAAGTTCAAATAAATTAAACCGGAAGAACAATATTGTAAACATTAATCGCTTCGGAGGCAACTATCGTTTTAAAATTAAAAAACAAAATCGTAATATTTGTTGATCAATTGAAACACGGCATGACTGAAGCTGGGTCTTTCAAATAGAATTTGCTGAAGTATTTGAATGACCCTGATAGAAGTCATGCCCGCTGAATGACTTTACTGAAAGTGACATTATACAATTCAAGAGTGAGTTTGCAGGTACATGTATTGTAAAAAAGTAGTTTGCAGGTATTGTAAAAAATAACTTTACATTTTGCAAACAAGGGCCAAAATACGCCCGTCATAAAAGCTTTTGATGGGCATGTGGACAGTAAGATATGCATAGCAAATAGCTGTAAGTGTGATCTTGACCTTTGAACTGGATCATGTATGAAGCGATACATTTAATGATGGTGAACATTTCTATAAAGTACTAGTATCATAAAATTTTTCCCTGCATTAACGAGATATGCTCCAGACTAATCCAGATACTTCATCATCTTTAGTGACCTTGACCTTGCATAAATTGACCTAAATTACAAGTGACATGGCGGTAGTCATGATAATGACCATTTGTGTTACAATCCCTCAATAAATGATGGCTAAATGTTTGCTATAAATATGTTACATGTTTTATGCAATAAATATATTGAATTGAATTGAAATGGTCCCCAAACACATTTCCATATTTTATTTGAATTTTGACTCCTATATGTGACCTTGATTTTAGCCACTTGGACCTGAATTTTGCGCGCGATATTCCACTTCACAATGGTAAACATTGTACAAAGTAATATTGAAATCCCTGTATGCATGTAAAAGTTTTGCTCCGAACAAACATTTTTCAATGCCCTCTATGTTTGACATTGACCTTTGACCTGGAGACCTTGTTCATGCGTGCAGCACAGCCTCTCATAGTAGTGGATATTTCTATGAAGTTTCATCAAAATCCTTCTATTCGTGTAGCAGATATGCTATAGAAAAAACGTGGACGTCACCCGCCTGTCAGACCGCCCGTCTGCCAGGGGCGTGCCTATAATGCGGCCCGTTTTTCAAACGGCATATAAAAATGTTGTTCGATTCATCCTGTGACGTTTGAGAGGCAGTCCATTTATATCTTAGGCAGCTTTTATATTTAATACTTCACAATTTTTATTATTAAGTGTTGGCCAATTACCATAACACATTAGCCATTCTTTCGAAAAGATAATGCTAATTCAGCTTAATTTGACAGTGATAGAAAATAATCATATTGTCACTTTCATTTCTTTCAGAAACAATGTATAACTTGAGTGTTTCCTTCCGAAAATTGTTTTGTTCTTAAGTGAGGTAAAGAGGTCCACATAAACTTAGCGCCTACAGCTATGTATTTGTACGGTTGTAGTCAACTAAATAATATATACAAGATAAGGAAGTAATATTACAAGAGGGAAATAAAGTTTATGTTTCAATTATTTCTCTGAAACAATTAGTTGTTTTTCAACAGCACATAAGAAATGAAGTAGGTTCTCTCGTTATTAGGAAAAAACAACTTTTCAAGTCTGAAGTAAAACATATTTGTGTTTCAAATCTTTTCCATAATTTTTTTAACAAAACAATGAATTTAAAACTGTTTGAATATTAAACCTTAGTGAATGTTAAAAGGTAAGTTACTTTGAATTCTTATATGTTTGTTATGTAATTAAATATGTTAAAAACTACGTTAGTCACTTTTTTATTATTTTTTTCACAAAGGTCATTCAACGTTAACTTAAAAGCACTTTAATGTAGCTACCAATTTGAAGTTTTTGTAAAATTGAAAACTAAAATCAACTGTATGAAAATGTTATCTGTTATACATGAATACAAAGTGCATATTGGTTAAAAAAACGAGTTGTTTTTAAGAAAGTAATAGGAAAATATATTTAGATTATACCTTTTATACCTTTGAACAGAAGCATCATTTACAAGTTAAATAATAACATTGATGGCAGTGTAATAAGAGCTCTAAATATAATAAAGGTCTCCTAAATACTAGTCAGTTTATAGACAATGAACTATAAGTCCTTGATCTCAAAAAGTTAACTATGGAATTTCATCCAAATGTCTTAAAAATATTCAATCTCAGTATATCAAAAGGCGTATTTCCTTCAGTCTTTAAACACGCAAAAGTTACACATATACATTACAGGAGCCACCGCTCACTAGCAGGTGCCTAACTCGACTCTTTCTCATTTCTTAAGTCAAACACATCAGAGGAAAATATTATAGTATAGAGCAATCCTACGAAAGAAAACTTTCTTTTAACAAATGAAATTCAACTTTCATATTTGGCCTTAACAGTCAGAGTTCAAGGTTACATTTTCCATCTTGTCAGTTTAGTAATATATACAAAATCTGGAAAAAAAGTGATACTAAGTTCTCTTTTGTCCACTCAAAGAATGAATCAAATGTATAAATAAATAAATAACAAAGTTATGACAATCTAAGCAAATTTCAATAACTTGACCTTGAGAGTCGATGTCAATTAAAGATAAGAATAATTCAACATAAGTCTCTTAGTCTAAGAATTAATCAAGTCTGTACTTAAATAAGAAAGTTATGACAGTTAGAATTACAATAATTTAACATTGTCAAAGTTAATTAAAGGTTAAGGTCAAATATAAATAGTTCAGCATGTTGGTTTTGTCATATGTATTTTTGTGTGCAAGTATGAATCAAATCTATACTCTAATAACAAACTTATGACAATTTATACAAATTCCAATAATTTTAGTCAAATAAAGGTCAATGTCATATTTGAAGTCAACATATAGGTTTTGTCATAAAGATTCTTTACCCTAATTAATTATCAAATCTATAAGTAGAACCAAAGTCAAGATGTCAGAGTAAAGTTCAATAAAATATTCGATGGTGTCTTGTCCAAAGGATTGTGTGCAAAAGCATAGAGACAACACTTAATTTATAAATTAAAGTTATAGCCAATTATTGTTTATTATTTATTGTTCATTAAAATATTAACAAAGAATATCCAAGCCAGAAAATCAAATAATAATATTAATAAGTGATCACGAATTTTAACTAGATAACTGCAAAACGAGTCAACATTAATAAACTTTAGAATGATAGACTCATCAATCCACATCATTTTAAATAACGCAGTGAAAGCTAGTTTTTATTACAAGAATTTAAACGATATTGGTCACTATACCATACCTCATACAAGATATTTTTAAATCTTACTAAATACATGGTCTGTATTTCATACAAGAAAAATGTCATTCGGACAATAATCAGGTCATCTGATATTCTTTACCTAAAAGTCTGCACATGCTCAAAATGTAATAGCTGTACGTACAAATGCAAGAAAATAAATCACTAGGTCAAAATCTAGGTCAGATGACATCAAGTTCAATTTAAGAAGATGGTTCAAATTTAATAGATTTACATCAAAGGACAAGAAAGAAAGTCACTTGGTCAAAATCTAGACCAGATCACATCAAAGATCAAATCTATATCTGAAACATGCACTTGTTCCAAATTTCATAGCTTTCTTTATGTTCAAAAACAAAAATAATTCACTGAGTTCCCTGAGGCAGGGCAAAATTTGACCCAAGGATATTATTTAAACAGTTTAGATACGGGTCCACCAGACAATGTTTCATGTCAAATATCTAAGCTCTAGCTTTCTCTTTTTAAGAAACAAAATGTTTGTCCAGTGTATATAAATAATACTGCGTCTGGACAGGGCAAATTTGAACTCTAGGGCCATAATTTGGACAATCATTGAGATTGTTTGCACCATTTTATTCCAAAATCCTAGCCTTTGAAGTTTTAGAGGGTAATTGTCACTGGATGCATAACTGATCAACTTTGTTAGATGTCCACTAGACAATGTTTCATGCCAAAAACATTGGCTCTAGCCATTGTCATTTCAGAGGAGATACTTTTTAAGTTTTTACTACATGTACATAATGAAAATCAATGATTACACCGGGACAGGACCAACTTTGACCCCAGGGTTATAATTTGAATATGGTCGAGGTGAACTACATATGTTTCATGCCAAATATCTTATCTCTACCTTAGTCATTGTAGAAGGGAATATTTTTTAAAGTTTTTCCATGTACATATAAGAAAAACATATGACCCTTTGGTGTTGGGTCAATGTCCAATTTTGACACAAGAGGTTAAATTAAAACTATTTTAGTAAAGGACCTACATATGATCATATACCAATATATCAATGTTTTGGGCCTTGTACTGTCAGACAAGATTTTTTTAATATGTATTTTGAAAACATCTTCTTTGGCCATGTGGCCTACTTATGCAACAGACCGAAACCATTTACACAACTTTGAAAGGGGACCACCCAAGGATAATTCCTGTAAAGTTTGGTTGATGAGCAGTTACAGTTTCATAGAAAATTTATTTAAAAGAACAGTTAAAGACAACGGCAAGACGGAGATTACAATAGATCCGATATTTCAAAGAGATTAAACCCCTCATTATTGAACAGAAGCATCAATTACAATTTAATCACACACTCGTTTAAAAGAGACAAAATCTGGAAAAGTGGTAAAATAAAACTGCCATCATAATAAGTAATAACTTACATAACTTATATTCCAAGAAATAGTTGGACCCATGGTCTGTATATATGAACAGTTACAATGATCTTTATAGCTGTACTTTGTGTTTATCTAAGAAGATTATAGCAAAGTATAAAGTTAATATAAAAAACATTATACCATAGGTTGTACAGTAAACAGGTCATAAAAAACAATGTAGGTTGATAAATGTTTTTATTGATACCAATATTTTTTTTGTCAAGTCCCTGCTTGAAATAATCTATAAAAAACAAATTTTCTTTCTGAATCATTTTACTGCCTGTTTATCCAATACTTAAACATTGTTTTGGCATCATGCAACAATACCGTACCCAAAGAAATATTTAAGTAAGTATTCAATTATCCAACATAATTAAATATGGTGAGTCATATGTTTACTCTGCTTATGTTTCAGAGAAATTATGGCTGTCCCAGGTAAAAAACCCTACAAACAATTTTCTTCTTCAACACTCTCAATGGGTTCTGATGAAGATCTTAAAGTTTACTGTCAACCATGTGACCGTGATGGACTTACACTTCCTGCTTATGGCTATTGTACAAACTGTTCAGAGCATTTATGTGAAACATGTTTTAGAGCTCATAGAAGACACACACTGTCAAGGCACCATAATTTACTAGATAAAATCAGCATGCCTCCGACCCTGTCAACTGCTACTCAAAGGCAACCAGATAACTTTACAAACCCATGTCCTAAGCACAACGCTGAGATGGTAAAGTTTTATTGCCATGATCATAAGGCTCTACTTTGCAGTGTTTGTGTTACACTTGAGCATACAGCAACACCACCTTGCAATGTCAACTATATACCTGACATTTCAGGCAAGACCATCAATAGCAATGAATATCAAGACGTATTGACTGAATTGAGTGACTTGGCTGAGAGATCAAACAAAACACTTCAAGACATGAAGGAAATGAACGTTGTATCAAACAAGTCGTTGATGGAAACGTTGACACACATAATGAAATTCCGGACAAAAATCAACGAAAGACTTGATGAATTGGAAAGACAAGTCAAGGAAGCTGCAAAAGTCATCCAAGAGGACAACATCAAGATTTTCAAGAGTGTAGAAACAGTATGTAGAGATGTGTCAAAATCACTAAAGTCATCCTCTGATGCCATTAAACATTTCAACGCATCAAAAGAAGCCAATGATTTGTTCATGGAACTAAAACATGCTGAACAGATGATAAAAGAATATGAACAGAAAGTTGATAAGGTCTCAGAATTTGAAGTCAAAGAATACAATTTTGAACCAAATGAGGCAATATCAAATCTATTGAATAAAGAAATGTCATTGGGAACACTAAAAGGTAGAACATTACATCCTGACTTGAAGTACAGACGATTTTCACAAATGGATATCATCTGTATGAAAAGACAAGATAAAGATACATGTATAATAACAGGAATGACACTGCTTACTCCTGATCTTCTTATTATTACAGATTATCAAAACAGGGCCATAAAAATGGTTGAAATCAGTAAAAAGTCTGTACAAGCTCGGCACAACTTTGATAGTGATCCTTGGGATGTCACGTCAATTTCACAAAATGAAGTTGCTGTCACATTACCATTCAATCTTACAATTCAGTTCTTATCTGTGTCTAGAAATAAAATCAAGATAAAGCACACTTTGAAGGTTGATGGAGAATGCCATGGTATAAGCTTTCATAAAGATAAAATGGTGGTGTCATTTTGTAATCCAGCTAAAGTTCAAATCATGCTTATCAATGGCACTGTTATACAAACAATCCAAGGTGAAATTATTTTCAAAGATCCACTCTATATTACAACAAGTGACAATTGTATCTTTGTATCTGATTTAACAATGAAAACAGTTACCAAGTTAAATTGGCAGAGTGAGGTGAAAGGTAAATATGTTTGTACAGCCAATCCACATGGCTTGACAATGTCAGACGATGGGACTGTGTATGTTTGTTATTGTGACAACAATACCATAGAAGAGATATCAGAGGACTTCAGTAAAGAGCAGGTTGTTGTAAAGGATATACAAAACCCTCAAGCTGTCTATTGGTCTGCTGAGACATGTACATTGTTCACAAATAGCTGGGATTATACAGGAGAAGATAATTTTATCAAACTCTTCAAAACATCTAAATAATCTACAAAGACAAAAAGTATATACAAATATAATGCGATTAACATTTGTAGGGCCTAGATATAACTTATTGTTGCTATTTAAACTTTTCGCCCTTTGTGAACTTCAAATAGCTGTTATCAGATTATCAACAACATTTTAAAATGTGTAATTCACTTATTGCTATGAGTTCAACTCTTTTAATGAAATTTTAAATTATGTTACTAAACAAAATGTCTAGATTTATATTTCAATTTATACATGTATTTATATGAAGGTACACATATATAATGTCATATTTATATTCAAAACCACTGAATGCATTGTGTTTTATATACAAGCAACAGTTACTCTCACTGAAACATTTAAAATCTTAAATCTGCAATTATTTCGCTAAACATGTTTGCAAATGCACAAAGTGAAACAAAAATATTTCAACAGTTCTATGTTGTTTTTTTTTCATGCTGTTTTAAGGCTGAAAAAGGGTCTCATTCTAAAAGTTAATTAGTATCTTTTTTCACAATTGTTTAATGAAAATTCACAATTCACAACAATTGATTTGATCATTGATCTAACAACGAACCACTTGTTATCAATATAGAATGTTAGTTAAAGTCAGTTATTCGTCTAATTTCTGTGAACGTTTTTTATTTATTTGCACGTTCTGCAATAAATATTTTATTTTCGTTCTTTTAAAATCTTTAATAGGCACAATTAAGTCAAATAAAAATATTATTACGATAAAATTATCACTATTCATATACATGTTCTATTTTTATACGTATGCAGTACAGTAAATTGACATGGTGTCAAATTTCATGACAATGACACATTACTATTATCCCAAGATTTGTTTGTTGGCCAAATTATATCAATAGTTTATAACATTTCAATGAATTATTTATGTTATTCAATTACATTTATTTATAATATACACAGATCTGTGTCATCATTGTTCTTTGTTTTAACATGGTGAGCTTGTGAAATAAAATTTATGTGCTATCCTGTATTTTATTCTTTTTGAAGGTGTAATAAAATGTATAGGCAAACAAATGAAAAATCAAAATTATATGAAGACAATAATATAGCAACTTTTCGGAAACTGGTATAGAGATATTTGATACCTTTTGTAACACCAAACAACTTAATTTGCGTTCACGTCCTTACATATTAATAAGCATTAAGGCACAATTAAATAAGCATAAAAGCACAATTGAAATTGAGTTTGTGATCATTTAGAAATAAAATGAAAATTGTAAATATGATCACATTGATATTTACTTATTTTTATTATGGTAGATACTTTATTCATTTGGCTATGCTTTAATGTATTATCTATATTTCATCTTTTGCAAAGCAAAAGTTTGGCAACGTAAGTCTGTTCATCCTACAAGAGTAAGGATGTTGATTTTCGTATCCCTTCTTCAATACAAATTTCTGGTGATGTTTGCATCAGCAATAATTTTGTTTGCGTTATACTCTAATGGGGTCATTGAAGGGGGACAACTTGAATCAGGTATTAATTTAAACTGTATATTAAACTGTATATTATTTAAATAAGAAAACAAGAGTGCCATGACGGCCCTCATATTGCTCACCTCAATATAAATACCCTTAATGACAATGAACTATTAATATTGTAAACTATAAGTGAAAGCAGAAATAAAATCTAAATCTTACACTGAAGTTCATATTTGTATCTGAAATATTGTATGTGTAGAAACATTACTGGTTGCTTTTGCTGTTGCAAACGAAGTCACTGGTTACTATACAAAATTCGCTGAAAGTCACTGAATGCTATAAAATTCAATGATAGTTTACTATGAAAAGTGGCTGCTATGTAGTCATTGTTTGCTATAGAAGTCAATAGTTGTTTTTGAAAGCAAGCAGTTGCTATAGAAAGTCAATGGTTCTTACAAAAAGTCAATGGTTCTTATGGAAATTAAATGGTCGCTATGTCGAGTCAACGGTTGCTAACAGAGTCGCTAATTGCTATTTCAAGTCACTGTTTGCTGCGGACTGTCACGATGGAAGTCAATGTTTGTTGCAGACTGTCACTGATTGCTATGGAAGTGTACGGTGGCTTTGGAAATTATGTTGGTGCTATGGAAGTCATCGGTTTCTATGAAAAGTCAAAAGTTGGAATAGCAAATCACTTTATATTATTGAAAGTAACTGTGTGCTTTAGAAGTCTATGGTTACAACTGAAACTCAATAGTTGCTATGTGAGTCACTGTTGCTATGGTAATCACTGGTTGTTAAGGAACTCTATGTTGCTATGACGTCAATGGATGCTACGACAGTAAGTTGTTCCAATAAGAAGTCACTTGTTTCCAGGGAAGTCTATGGTTGCTATGGAAAGTCACTGGTTGCTATGCAAAAAAAGTGATTGATATGGCAAGTCATTCAGTGTTAAAGACGTCTAAAGTTGCTATGGAAAGTCAATGGTAATAATGTGGGTCACTGGTTGCAATTGAAGTCAATGGTTGCTATTTAAAGACACTGGTCGCTTTTGACATTAATGGTCGCTATGGAAAGTCAATGGTTGCTAAGGAAGTCATTGGTTGCAACTGAAAGTCAATAGTTGCCACGGAAAGGCACTGGTTTCTATGGAAAGCCACTGGCTGCTAAAGAGGTCTATGGTTGCCATGGAAATTCAATAGTTCCTATCTAAGTCACTGGTTGTTATGGGAAGCCACTGGTTACTATGAGAAGTAGCTAGTTGGTACGATGTCAGTGGTTGCTGTTGAAATTCACTAGTTGCTATTGAATTGTATGGCTGCTATGGAAAGTCAATGGTCGCTATGAAAGTCAATAGTTACTGTGGAAAGTCACTGGTTGCTGTGAGAAATCACATATAAAGAAATTCTATGTTCCCCCGGATTGGGCCCAATTTTCACTCCAGTGCATTAATTTGAATAATTTTTGTTGATGTTCACCTGACTATGTTTCATGTTAAATATTGTAGTTTTCAAGGAGATATTTCAAGTATTACTATATTAGGAAATGCCATGACCCTGCGGGGCGGTCAAATTTTTACCCAAGGCCAATTATTTGAACTAACTTAGTAAAGGTCTATGTTTATTAAACAATGTTTCACGTAAAAAAAGCTTGAGCTCTTGTAGTGTGAGAGAAAAAAATTAAAGTTGTAAACTTTTTACAATATACATATAAGGAAAATCTATGTTCCCTCGACAATGTTTCATACCAAATATCTAAGCTTAAGCCTTTCTAGTATTATAGAAGTTTATTTTTTGTTTTTACTATATACATATAAGGAAAAGTAATAGCCCGAGGCCAATTTTGATCACAGGGCTTTTATTTGAACAAACTTGGTAGAAAATGTATTGATTGAAAGTAATTAATGATAATCTAAGTGGCAACTTTTGATTCTTCAATAATCTGCTGCATAGTTTTTTTAGAGTCAAAAGTCATGAAAAAATTAAATAGACAACTTTTATACAGTTTATACAGATTATAATTCAAAAACATTCTGCTTTTTACTCATCATATTGATGTTTATTTTTTTATTTATTGAATATATAAGTCACATAAGATAAAGGTGCCATTCCCATAAAGCAAGTGGATTTAACCATTTTATTTCATGCTTTCCAGTGCTTTACTGCAATATACCAGATGACTATATTCTGATAAACCACTAGTGAAAGTTATAAAATAAAATTTTCACTGTAGCCGGACTATATCTGAATGCGGATGAAAAGAATATCATTACTAAATTGAAATACAGGCAAAAGTATATGCCGTTATCCGTACATTTTGCTTCTTTAGGAAAAGAAATTCTATTTTATCATAAATCATGATAAAAATGTAACAAAATTAGATAAATTTAACAGAACTAATTGATGATGTGACGTCATGATGTGATGGCGTCAAAAATGAGAATACGCGACGTTACGCGGCAATATCAGTAAAAGAAAACAACTTAAAATCACTTAAAAAGCATGGAATTAAAAGAAAATTTATTTGTTTTACATATAAGATTGAAATATATTTCATTCGTGAACACCAGCTTTTCTATTTTCACTCGTGGCTAAGCCACACTTGAAAATATTGCATCTGGTGTTCACTCTGTGAAATATATTTTAATCTTACATGCAAAACAAACAAATATCCTCTATATAAAAATTTTCAATCAGAGGTGTCATATTTTTTTTTAACCTTCGGGATCTAAATACTTTTAGTGTAATCTTTTTAATAAACAGGTCAAATTAACCAAGTCTTAAATTATGACAGTGTCACAAATACGCCCGTCACAAAAGCTTTAGGTGGAAATGTTGTCGATAAGAAGTGTTGCAGGCAAGTTGATCATTATACATATTTTTCGTCTGAAAATTTACCTATATGTATAACCTAGATCTAGGTTGCAGGGACCTACATTTTGGCACGACACTCAGCATCACAATGCTGAAAATGTGTGCCAAGTCATATTAAAATCCCTCAAAACATGAGGACAAGCGTTTTTCAAGGAGATCTAAATGTGACCTTGACCTTTGACCAAGAGAACTTCTTAAAACGCAGGGCACTACGTCTGATGGCAGTAAACAATGCCTTCATGCATGTTAAATAGAGATTTGCTCGGCACAATATCCGGATATTTAATCATCTTTCGTGACCTAGACCTTGCATATATTGGCCTAATTTACATGTGTTATAGCCGTAGTCATGATAATGACCATTTGTGTTACAATCCGTCAATAATGATGACTGAATGGGTCCTATACACATTTTCATATTTTTATCTGAACTTTGATCTTTATGTGTGACCTTGCCTTAGGACATAGGGACCTGAATTTCGCACGCGACACTCCGCCTCACAATTGTGAACATATATACCAAGTAATTTTAAGATCCTCCGATAAATGTAGAAGTTTTGCTCCGGACAAGCGTTCTTCTATTAGCTCTAAATGTTATCTTAACCTTTGAACTAGAGACCTGGATCATGCGTGGATCGAGCAATACGGCTCATAGTGTTGAATATTTCTATCGTTCGTCCTTGCATGAAGGAGATACGCATAAGACTACATCTGGATATTTCATGACCTTGGTGACCTTGACCTTGCATATATATAGTAACACATTTTTGTATTTTAAGTGCCCCATTTGATATGTGTTATAAATCATGATTATTTGTTTTAGCTTTTTGCACCTCAGTGGAATTCCTTTTAAGTATAGTATAACACTATATACATAGCTTAAACGTTTTCTTTGTTAGCCTCAGTGACAAATTGTTTAGACATTCACTTGTAAGTTTTAATCATGATGAATCATTCTTTTTATTATTTTATCATATTAATGTGTGCATGCAAATTACTTATTTTACGACTTTACATATTGAAATTAATGAAAGATGATATCTTTATATATTGTTTTCAAGTTATGAACATTGAAAAGTTAAATATGCCAGAAAATAAATGATATATGCACTCAATCTGCATATTTTGTATAAAAAATAATGAAATAATTTGTTACAGAAATTTTTATAAAGGTTCTTCGGAAACTCGAACTTGCAACTAGGCAATTAAAATACCTTTATCCAAACCACTAAATCGGGCCGTAATTATCGATTTAGTTATGTATCAATAATTATACCATCATTTAAAACAAATGTGTTAATCATTACTTATTACGCAAAACTAACGAAACCCATTCTGAAAATTTATCAATCTCAGGTCAATATTGCCAAACAATAGTAATAATTAAGCTAGACCTTTATGTATGCTTTTTTGTAATTTAAAGTAAAAAATATAATCAATACAAGCACATAGCACACGATCCTGTAAAGCAATAATAACATACGAGTTTGAAATAAATCTAACTTGTCTTTTGATCTTTTTGAATATACTCTCAATATTAAACTTAACCTATATTACCGTATTTATAAACCGAAAGACCAATCTTCAGATTTCTTATCTTAAACAATTGTAGTATTATCATTAGGGGTATATTGTTTCATATTACCATTTAAACAATCAGACACGCCATAACTATCAAACTTGTTTATACCCGTTACCAGATAGAAGAAATGAAATATAAAGACTGAAGGAAGACATATTTGTGTTTTCATTTTTTTCTGTATATTAAACATAGTAATGAATTAAAAACTGTTTGAATAAACACTCGTTGAAAGTTAAAAGGTATGCTACTTTGAATTCTTATGTGTTTGTAATGTCAACTAGATATATGAAGAAACTAGATTTGTCATTTTTTATTTCCTATTTTCACAAAGGTCATTCAAAATTGAAAGCAATTTAAAGCAGCTACAATTTTGTGGTTTATATAAAATTGTCAACTTAAATCAACTGCATGAAATATTGATCTCTTTTATATGAATAAACTACATAGTCTTAAAAAAGTAATTTTTATAATAAAGGTACATCTAAATGAAAATAGGAATATGAGTTGAAGGAAAGTAAATTTAAACTACTTTCAGACAGATTATACCTTTTATAATTGAACAGGAGTATCAATAACAATCGCTTCAAAAAGGCAAAATCTACCAGGCAAAAATAAAACAGTCATCATACACCAAAATAAATCAATGAAAATTATAAACAAATGCTCTATATAGTATTACAGCAGATCACTGCTAAAATCTGTCATTATGCAACCTTTATCTTTCATAGACATAATTGCACCTCTGGTCTGTATATACACTTACACTAACTCTTATAACTGTATATAAAACAAACTTTAACAATGTAAAACGCTATACTGCTTGTCTTTGATAATATGAGAGTAACGTATCATTTTATATGTATATAAAAGTTTTCAACAATCGATTGAAAAGGTAAAACAGGATATCAAGATCGAATATAATACTAAATTTGTATAAGAAAGGTATATTTCTGGATGGTGAACTTGGTAAAGTTGTTGGGATTGCATGTTACAAACATTTTGTCACAAGTTCAAGCTTGACAAAGTGTCTATTTCTGTTTTGTTTTCATCATTATACATCAGACATAATGAAATGTCAAACAAAAGTAGGTTTTTACAGTAGGTGTGGCGGCTGTAAAACTCTCCCCGTACATTTAATCATTGATGTTATATTTTCGATCCTTGAAGATCGATCAGCAAAACATTATTGTTGTGTATACATGTTATGTGGTTCTTTGAGTGTTTTCTATTTGGTCTTTTTTCAACTTGGGTTGTTCCAGTATTCCTTATTGAATACTGTATAATCACCCTTATGATATGCTGCCTGCTTTTTAAATTTGTCTTTTGACGTCTTGTCTGTGATATGCAGGCTTCATAACCTCAGATCCCCTTTCAAAATTCCATTTTTTTCAGTTCCGCCCATCGTTTTCTCGTTTAGGGCACATACATTCTTTTACTTGGGGACCATACGCCGCTTTTCATGGAATGGTACTACTGTGCCACATTGTAAGTTCCATGATAATCGCCGTATGAACACATCTGCGGATGTCTCTAAATACAAAATTTCAGCATTTTTCGTGTTTAAATGTTGAATTCTGCTTAAGCCGGTGCTAGGGGGCGTTGACGGTTACTTGCACTTTTCAGTACCGTACATGAACAGGCTCAGTTAAAACGAGCCTGCAACAACATTTTCATCTTTCAAACTTAAAATAAGCGAACATGCAAGGGAAACACCAAAATGGTTGCATAAGTCTCTTAACCCTTTCCCTCATGAGCATATTGTGAAAAATAGCCGTTTTCATTGAAAAGCCTCCTGTAACAAGTTCAAACTGCTTTGAAACTATGAAAAATGCTTCAATACTAATCAAACTTGGCACAAATGTTGACTGGACCATTGCCTTTGTCTTAAATTCCTGTTACCATGGCAACGAGGGGACATCTCAAAATTGCCAAAAATCACTATTTTTGCCTTGATTTTTTCCATCAAAATTTATTTCAAAGTGCTGCAACTTCTCAAGGGATTGAGATAGAGTCAAAGGCTTTTCAGCATTACACGTTACCTTATGATCGACCTGGAGTCATGTTTAGACTCTCACAAGTCCAAAATTTTCTTGGCGATAAGGGGGACTACAGCCCCCCTTCACCCCCCCCCCCCAACAGAAGGGGACACACACCCTTGATGTATCTTTTGGATCGGGGGCGGCGCCGAAAAAGTGCTCACTTTTTTAGCAACATTTCTCAAACGAAAACATGTGTTTGGGGCCCAAATAGGACAATTTTTCACTATTTGAGGCCTAAAAGAGAGGAGGGGGGGGGTCAAAAGTGCGTTGTTTCGCGTATATATGAGGTAAATGGGTTAAGACAAAGTATACGAAAAAGTCAAAATGTAATTACAATATATTCCCTTTGTTGTTGGAGGAAGTTTTTGGACACCATTAATATACATGTATAATAATCATTATCCTCTGATAATCTAATTAATAGATGCTCAAATAAAAAAAAGACTTTCTTATATTTGATAACATGCAAAACGGTTTAAATCCGTTTCACACATGTCTGATTTTCATTTTTTTTTTAGCTCAGACTCCTCCAATGTTTTCTTTTACTTGTCCCTGACACATAAGTGTTTCATTTGAAATAAACAACCTATGTCTAATTACAGCGATTAATTCAATTAACTGCTGATCAAGCCCAATGTCAATTTTAACTGCTGATCAAGTTCAATTTTTAATTTAAACTGCTGATCAAATCCAATGTCAATTTTAACTGCTGATCAAGCTCTTTTTAATTTAAACTACTGATCGGATTAACTGCCGATCAAGTTCAATGTCAATTTTAACTGCTGATTAAACTCAAGGTCAATTTTGACTGCCGATTAACTCAATGCCAATTTAAACAGCTGATCAAGCTCAATGTCAATTTTGACTGCTGATCAAGCTCATTGTCAAATTTAACTGCTGATCAAGCTCAAGATCAGTTTTAACTGCTGATCAAGCTCAATGCCAATTTAATCTGTTGATCAAGCTCAATGTCAATTTTTACTGCTGATCAAGCTCATTGTCAATTTTAACTGCTGATCAAGCTCAAGGTCAATTTTAACTGCTGAACAAGCTCAATGTCAATTTTAACTGCTGATCAAGCTTAATGCCAATTTAATCTGTTGATCAAGCTCAGTGTCAATTTTTACTGCTGATCAAGCTCAATGCCAATTTAAACTGCTGATCAAGCTCAATGTCATTTTTTACTGCTGAACAAGCTAAATGTCAATTTTAACTGCTGATCAAGCTCAATGCCAATTTCAAATGCTTATCAAGCTCAAAGTCAACAATCTCAATGTCAATTTTAACTACTGATCAAGCTCAAGATCAATATTTACTGCTGATCAAGCTCAATGCCAATTTAAACTGCTGATCAAGCTCAATGCCATTTTTTTTACTGCTGAACAAGCTCAATGTCAATTTTAACTGCTGATCAAGCTCAATGCCAATTTCAAATGCTTATCAAGCTCAAAGTCAACAATCTCAATGTCAATTTTAACTACTGATCAAGCTCAAGATCAATATTTACTGCTGATCAAGATCAATGTCAATATTAACTGCTGATCAAGCTCAATGTCAATTCAATGCAATCTAAATATTAACAGAGTAGCGTATACACTATCTCAATTGGGGTGGAGCTTTGATTTGCTTTATCTATTTTATTGGATAATCACATGTATACTTCATTTGCACATGCTCTGGTTTTGGGAACTTAAGTTTTTCACACATGTATTTGGTTTTGATTGTTGACACTTGTGATCGCATGAGATGCCGATCTATAAAACACAAACATTTGACAGGTAAAATAATCGCTCAATTAAAAGATTGACCACAATAAACTGCGCATGTGAGATTGTATCTATAAATAGACAAATATGTTCCTGAAATTCTTGTGCTTCCTGTTTACCTTACACTTAAACTTTATTTGGCATCATGCAACACTTGTCTTACTGTACAAAATATTCATTTCACACTATGATGAACTCTCAAACTCATTAAACATGGTATAATTGATTTGCTTAGTTTTTCTTATGCTTCAGGAAAACCATGGCTGTCCCAGGTAAAAAAGCCACCAAACAATTTTCATCCTCAACAACTTCTAAGGGTTCTGATGAAGATTTCAAAGTTTACTGTCAGCCATGTGATCGTGATGGACCTAGACTTCTTGCTCATGGCTATTGTACAAACTGTTCAGAGCATTTGTGTGAAACATGTTTTACAGTCCACAGGAGACACACATTGTCAAGACACCATACTTTACTAAACAAAACCAACATGCCTCAGACCATGTCGACTGTCACTCCACAACAACCAGATACCTTCACAAAACCATGTCCTAAACACAACGCTAAGATGATCAAGTTTTACTGTCAAGATCATAAGGCTCTCTTTTGCAGTGTTTGTGTTACATTAAATCATACAGCAACATCTTGCAAAGTCAACTATATACCTGATATTTCAGGCCAGACCATCAATAGCACAGAATATCATCATATATTAAAGGATTTGAACGACATGGCTGAGAGATCAAGCAATATTCTTCAAGACATGAAGCAACTGAATGGGGTTTCAAACAAGTATTTGAAAGAAGCATTGACAGACATATGGATATTCCGGACAACAATCAACCAAAGATTAGATGAAATGGTAAGACAAGTCAAGAAGGCTGCAAAAGTCATCCAAGAGTACAATAGCAAGAACCTGATGAATGTAGAAACAGTATGTGAAGAGGTATCAAAATCACTGAAGTCATCTTCTGATGCTATTAAACATTTCAACACATCCAATCAAGCCAATGATTTGTTCGTGGAATTAAAACATGCAGAACAGATGATAAAAGAACATGAACATAGTGTTTCTAAGCTCTCAGAATTAGAAGTCAAAGAATATAATTTTGTGCCAAATGTTGCAATATTAAATCTTCTTGCAAAAGAGAAGTCATTGGGCACACTGAAAGGTAAGATATTATCTCCTGCTGTGAAGTCCAGAGGATGTTCACAAATGGATAAAATCTCTATAAAAATAGCACGCAATAGGTATGATTGCTGGATAACAGGAATGACTCTCCTTACTCCTGATCTTCTTATTATCACAGATTATGCAAACAGGGCCACAAAAATGGTTGATATCAGTAAGAAGTCTCTACTAGCTCAGAAAAAATTTAAAAGTCATCCTTTTGATGTCACATCAGTTTCACAAAATGAAGTTGCTGTCACATTGCCATTATATCACAGTATTAAGTTCTTTTCTGTCTCTAGAAATAATCTCAAGGAGAAACAAACTCTATATGTTCATGGACAATGTCATGGTATAAGCTGTCATAAAGATAATATAGTGGTGTCATATCTCAATCCAGGTAAAGTTGAAATCCTTCTTACCAATGGCACTGTATTACAGACATTAGAAGATGGCAATATTTTTAACAATCCTGAATATATTACAACAAGTGACACTTGTATCTTTGTATCTGATTATACATTGAAAACAGTTACTAAGTTAAACTGGCAGTGTGAGGTGACAGGTAAATATGATTGTACAGCCAGTCCACGTGGCTTGGCAATGTCAAATGCTGGGACTGTGTTTGTTTGTTATTATGACAACGATACCATAGAAGAGATATCAGGAGACTGTAGTGAAGGACAAGTTGTTGTTAAGGATATAAAAAACCCTCAAGCTGTTTACTTGTCTGCTGATACATGTACATTGTACACTTCCAACTGGGATAATACAAGAGAGGATAACTTTATCAAACTTTTCAAAATCTCTAAATAATGACAGAAATCTTTCTCGACAAAGACAGACAAAATATTAACAAATGTACAGGGTTTAAATTTTGTATGGTAGATGGTACTTATTATAACTATTTCAACTTTTAGGAATTTGTAAGCTTCAAATAGTTTTAAACAGAATATTAACAAGTTGTATAATTTTGCAATGCGGTTAACGGAGTTACTTTTTAAAATGGCATTTTAAATCATGTATTTTATCAAATATGTTCAAATCTATATGTCAAAATATATACATATTTATTTATATATCAGATACTGCACATATATGGTACCTTTGTAAACATGAAACTATTCCTCACTTTGTTACATTCAGATTAGTACAAACATCTTTGGTGATCTTTTAGATATTAGACTGGTGCCGAAACTTGACGTTTTAAATACTAGCATAAGTAACTTCAGCTGTACATTCAGACGATTAATTTCATTTATTCAATAACATTTGTTAAGATAGCATACATAGATCTATATCATAACTTTTTTATGGTGAGCTTGTTTTAACATGGTAGTCTTGTCAAATAAAATTATGTGACAACTTGTATCAAGTATTTATTTAAACTGTATATTATCACAAAATGTGGATAAAATAAGAAAACAGTTAGTTTTATCTCTACAACACTTTAAAAAGTATAAATAAGTTACTTAACAATATGTTAAGATTCCAATTTCCCTATAGATTTTTAAATATTCATTGCATCAGAGATTGCAGACATATTTAATGATATACTGATACTAAATATTTTGTTTTTATTGTGTGTGATGTGCTAACTCTGTAACCATGAATGATACTTGCTAGTCTTTTTACAGAAGCAATAAGAATGTAAAACCTGCTAGTTTCCAGATGCTTAAATTTGTTTAATTTTAAGCAACATCAACACTGTAAAGGTCTCCAACCAGCGACTTCCAGCTTTACTGGTGGTGTAAAAAACATCAGTTGCTTCTTAGGTGCGAGAGTGCACCTGAGTTGAACCACCAACCGTCTATTAGCATGCTTTCACATTGAAAGACTCCAAAGTCTCTGATATAATTTGAACCCACAGCAGTGAGGGGCAGCAAATTTGAAGTATGTCAACTTAACAATAAAATGTATTGATTGTTGAAGAAAGTAAATATTAATAAACTTTGAATATCTGCTGCATAGTTTTGTTTGTAAAAAACATGCAAAAACTGAAATCGCCACCTTTTATATGGTACAGTTTATAGATGAGTTACTTCCTGCTTCGTACTTATCATAATGATGTATATTTTTAATTTATTGAATATGTAAGCCATATAAGATAACGGTGACATTCCTATAAAGCAAGTGGATTTAACCGTTTTGGGATCAATATCTTTTGTGTTATCTTTTATGAACAAGCCCAATCATATCTAGTCTAAAGTTTTCAATCAGATAAAGCATACTATCAAACTTATTTACTTCCGTTACCAGGAAATAGAACTGAACTTTTCAAGACTGAAGGACACACTTGCTTCCTTTTTCTAAATAATATTTAACAATCTAGGTATTAAATCTTTGGAAATGTTATAAGGTATGTTACTTAAAATTCTAAAAATATTTTTGTATTTACTAGATATGGTTATAAATTATGATTTGTTGGTTTATCTGTTTTTTGTTTGCTTTTTTTACTTTTATAAAAGTCAAATGAAGTACAAAAAATATATATTGAATCAGCTACCAATTTAAAGTTTAAATAAAAATGACAATTTAAATCAACCAGGCGAAACAGTATCACCTTTACAGCTATAAAATTTACGACCTTGGCCGCAGGGACCTGCATTTTCCACGCGACACTCCGCCTCAAAGTGGTGAACATTTGTGCCAAATTATATTGCAACACCTCTATGCATGTCGAAGTTTTGCTGCGGATAAGCGTTTTTCAATGACCTTTAAGTGTGACCTTTGACTAGAGACCTGTTTCATGCGCGCGACACAGCTTCTCATAGTGGTAGATATTTCTATGAAGTTTGATTAAAATGCCTTCATGTGCGTAGGAGATATCCTTATTGAAAAAAGCTTTTGAGAAATAAAGATAAAAGTATTTCTGGCGTATAGTTATATTAAAGAGCAGGAAAAACTCTGATGATATTTTCAAATCTGTAATTTTAATTGGTTCGAGTTGACCGGACCCGTATTAAAAGTCTTTTCCGAATAATCTTTTTATAAACATATATACGCCACTAACATGGAATAGATAAAATATCAGCACGAGTAAACTTTACATATATCTTTAGTTGACTATTTGACTTTTTGACAAAACTAAAAGTGATGACTTAATCTACTGTTGCAGTGTAAAAAGAATATTTTTTGTACAGCACTCAGAGTTACATGGAAATTTCGGTTTTCAATTAAAGAAAATACTTTTGTAGCGTGGCTTAAATTCTTTAAACCAAAGTTTGTTGAGATATTTCAAAATTGTAAACATGCCAGGTGATATCAAGATAAAACAAAAAATCGATGTTTAGTGTCCAGGTTATCTCTCCAACAAAACAAACAGACCTAACAAAACTATCAATCTTGTTTACTTTCGTTTTCAGGAAGTAGAAATGATATATTCAAGACAGAAAAAAACATTTTCTTTTCCACAATAATTAAGCAAACAATGAAATCATAGCTGTTTAGATATTAAAACTTGGGAAATATCACAAGGTATATATTATATGTTTGTAATGCTAACTAGATATGGTAAAGAAACATATTTTTTTTCAAGGTCATTCAAAAAAACACTTTAAGTAATTTTCAATTTGAAGTTTATATAAAAAAGACAACTTAAATCGACTGAATGAAAAGATTATCACTTTTTTATGAATAACAACTACCATTTCTTAAAAGAGTTATTTCTTAATATAAGTATAACGAAATAGGAGCTTTAATTGATTAAAAAGTAAATTTTAAATGTTATTTTCTTTCACAGATTATACCTTTAATAATTGAACAGGAGCATATATAACAAATCGATAAAACAATAATTTCAAAAATTCAAAATATACCAAAGTGTCAAGTGTTAAACATACATCATACATAAAATTAGCACCCCGGAATAAGGGGATGGTATGCGCATCTCGTCGAAGAATTGATGGTTCCCATAAAGTTTCCTTGAATTCCAGCCAGTTGTTGCAGGGATCTAGCGTCGAAACGTAATTCGGACGGACAGACGGAAGGACAACACCAAGACAATATCCCCGTCCCGATACTGCTCCGTATAGTTAGAAAGCAGAGCAATATAAAAGCTATTATCTCACACATTGTAGTTTGAACGTTTTTGAAAAAAATGTCAGCAAAATATAAATGATTACCACAGTCTGGTAGATTTTATGAAACTAGATTATTAATACATGGTTTGTCTGGTGTGAAAAAAATCTAACTAAAGTATTTGCAATGTTTGTCTTTCTATAATCTGAACCGTTACAAAGTTTTATTTTATTAATATTGACATAAATTTTAGACACACACGTTATCTTGTTGCAAGTAGATCAGATGACAGCCGGTAGAACAACCTAGCTCTTGATATATCCTACAATCCATTTCTGCACAATATATCACAGAAAGTTCTGTCTATAAAAACAGACAAAAACTAGAAATGTGTCCATAGGACACGGGTGCCCCCACAATCCACTCACTCTACGTCAAATCATTTTGGGCTACACGTGAAACAAATTGAAAACTAAAAGTCTTTTACTCAGTCAATGACAAAAAATCTACAAATACTTATAACATGTATAAATCCACAAGCAAAACCCCCAGGTGCACAACTACACATGCTGACCGACACTTCTTTCAAGTTTCATGACTAGATCAAAACATTTTAAACAACGCACGAAACAAATTGAAAATTGCAAGTCAGGGGCCATAAATCTGACAATATAGAATAAATCCACAAGCGAAACATCAGGCGCACAACATCCTGAGCATCATTCTTGTAAAGTTTCATAACTTTAGGTGAAATATTTTTTGAGCTACATGCGACTAAAATTGAAAATTGATTGTGAATCTTTACTTAGTAAAGGGCAGTTACTCTACAATTACTAAATAAGTTCACAAGTAAACACCCAGGTAAAAAACTGCACATACTGATGAAAATTAATGTAAAGTTTAATGACTCTATGTCAAATAGTTTTAAGCTATATGCGACACAAGTTGGAAAATGAAAGTCAAGGACTATAACTCCATCAATACAAAAACATCCACATGCAAACAAACGGATGCACATCAACACATGCTGACCAATATTCCTGTGAAGTTCCATGACTCTAGGTCAAACACTTTTTGAGCTTCTTTCGACACAAATGTGAACAGACGGACGGACAAGGGTAAATCTAAATGTCCCCTTCTACCTATAGTGGGGGCACAGAGAAGAAAACAGACAAAAATCTTCAATCATTCAATTTTAAACTGACATCTATATGATAAGTTCTACATACATCAAGCATTCCTACTCGCTACATGTTAATGTGTGTGACAATAAGCATGTACATATCTGTGTCAAGTGGAACAAACAAACTGTTAGGTCGCATTTATCTCATGAAAATTGTAAATTATACATGTACTGCCATGCATATGCAATAACTGTAAACAGATATATTGAGTTACATAGTCGTTCTGTATGGGAGAATAGATTTAAAATCAGTCACTTAAATGTTACTGAGACATAATTGGACCTAAATACATACACTTACAATGAATTTCATAGCTGTACTTAATGTTTATCTAAACAATTATTTGTCTAGTTTTTCTTATGTTTCAGGGAAATCATGGCTGTCCCAGGTAAAAAAGCCATAACACAATTTTCTTCTTCAACAACTATTATTGGTTCTGATGAAGATTTCAAAGTTTACTGTCAGCCATGTGATCGTGATGGACCAAGACTTCCTGCTCACGGTTATTGTACAAATTGTTCTGAGCATTTGTGTGAAACATGCTTTACCGGCCACAGAAGGCACACATTGTCAAGACTACATACTTTACTAGACAAAACCAACATGCCTCAGACTCTGTCACCTGCAACACCAAGACAACCAGATAACTTCACAAAACCATGTCCTAAACACAACATTGAGATGATAAAGTTTTACTGCCATGATCATAAGGCTCTACTTTGCAGTGTTTGTGTTACATTAAATCATACAGCAACATCTTGCAAAGTCAACTATATACCAGACATTTCCGACAAGACCATCAACAGCACAGAATATCAGGACGTTTTGAAGGAATTAAACGACATGGCTGAGAGATCAAGCGAAACACTTCAAGACTTGAAGACAATGATAGAGAAATCAGACAAGTCTTTAAAAGATGTATTTACAGACATATTGAAATTTAGAACAAAAATCAACCAAAGACTAGATGAAATGGAAAGACAAGTCAAGAAGGCTGCAAAAATCATCAAAAAGGACAATAGCAATAATATGAAGTCTGTGAAAACAACATGTATAGATGTATTTAAATCATTGAGATCATCAGCAGATGTCATTAAACATTTCAACGCATCCAAACAAGCCAATGATTTGTTCATGGAACTAAAACATGCAAAACAGATGATAAAAAATTATGAAAAGTTTGTTGCCAAGCCCTTTGAATTTGAAGTAAAAAAATACAAATTCGAAGCAAATGATGCAATAGCAGATCTATTGGATACAGAAACAGAAAAGTCACTGGGGACATTGAAAGGGACAATATGTCAGTACAGACGATGTTTACAAATGGATAAAATCCGTATCAACACACCAGAAGACGGACATAATTGCTATATAACAGGAATGACTCTCCTTACTCCTGATGTTCTTATCATCACAGATTATCAAAACAATGAAATAAAAATGGTTGATATCAGTAGGAAGTCTGTACTAGCTCAGATATCGTTAGATAGTGAACCTTGGGATGTCACATCTGTTTCAAAAAATGAATTTGCTGTCACATTGCCGTTCTCTCAAACTATTCAGTTCTTTTCTGTCTCTAGTTGTCTCATGACGAAGCAATCTCTAAAGGTTTGTGGAGAATGTTTTGGTATAAGCTGTCATAAAGATAAAATGGTGGTATCATATTGTAAACCAGCTAAAGTTCAAATCCTTTTTATCAATGGCACTGTATTACAGACAATACAAGATGAAAACATTTTCATTACTCCAGAATATATAACAGCAAATGACAATTGTATCTATGTATCAGATAAAGAAATGAAAATAGTTACCAAGTTAAACTGGCAGTGTCAGGTGACAGGTAAATATATATGTACAGACATACCTTTGGGCTTGACAATGTCAGATTATGAGTCTTTGTTTGTTTGTTATAGGGATAACAATACCATAGAAGAGATATCAGGAGACTGTAGTGATGGACAGGTTGTTTTAAAGAATATAGAAAACCCTCAAGCTGTCTATTGGTCTGCTGAAACATGTACTTTGTGCACAAGCAGCCATTATTATAACATAGAAGATAACTTTATCAAACTGTTCAAACTGTCTAGTCTAAATAATGAATGACAGAATTTTTATTAGAGAGAGAGAGAGAGAGAGAGAAAGAGAGGGAGAGAGGGAGAGAGAGAGAGAGAGATATTATCACATATTAAATGCAAAATTTATATTCAAATCCATTGAATGCATTGTCATGATTGTGTTGTTTTATATAACTTAATTTTAAATACACGAAATAAATTCTCACAGAAAATATATATAATCTTAAAGCTAAATATGTTTAAAAAAACGAAGAAGATGTTGTAACAATTCAATGTTGTTTAACCAAACTGTGATTTTATCACTCAATAAAATCACTGTTTGGCGTTCGGATGCGAGGAATTATATCACGAGGGCATAGCCCGAGTGATATAATAATGCGCATCTCAACGACAAACAGTGATTATACAAGGGATAAAATCACCGATTTGGATATACTATTCTTTTTTTTTAATTCTTTTCTGAATATATATAATTTGAATAAAAGAATGAATAATCTATGTATGGGAAGCTGTGGTTCAGGTCAAGTAAAGTTGGTCTTTTCTTATAGAAACTGCCAGTTTTCTTAATTACAATATATATTCGTATAGTGTGTGGAATTCTTATCATGGCATATCAAATCTGATTAAAATCAGCTCCAAGTTAACGCTACACAATAGGATTTGACTGCCACAAATAGGTGGTCATGTTCTTGGAACTTTCAAACAGCCGATCATTGGCGAACTTCTACAACTTTGACAACGATGATGTTTCTAATTCTAACCGCTGGAAAACCAATACCAAGTAGGAAATTTCCCCAATTACTTCAAATAATTGTTTCTCTAACAAAAATCAACAATTTATTTCACTTGCACAGACAGTTATATTTTGATATGCATCTAATGTCTGTCTGTCAAGGACGGTTTGATTGCATGACGAAAAGTATCTTTCTCGGGAAGCCAAACCGCAAGGCAAATATGGTGGCAATCAGATCCTCATGAAAAATATAAATTAAGAAGATCTGAACTTGAGTCAGATAGTGTTTGGACTACAGTTCAGAGAATTACATAAAATCTGTCAAAATCGGCTTCATATTAAATGTGAAAACAGTAATTATTCCCTAGAATAAAAGAGCCAGGAAAAGATCCGTAAAATTTCTTTGATAATAGCAATAAATGAGTTTAATACTCCTGAACTTAAATGTGATCATGATTTTCTGGCAAGACATTTTTAAGTTGGGAATTTTATAAACCTGACAATCATTATACAATTCATATATTTGAAACATGTTATGAATATTTAAGTTAAAGTATAACACTTTTCAACAGTTTTAAGACAGTGTTCAAATGGTAAAGGTTTCTCCAATCAAGAGGTTCAAGTTTCACCCTCTGTTACTCAAAATACAAGAAGATAAGATCAGCCTGCTGGTGGTATTGATTCTAGTCATGGAACCAGTGTAGACCAATATAAGATCAGTCTGCAGGCGGAAAATGCTTTAACTAATGCGACCAGTGTAGACCACGCTAAGATCAGCCTGCTGATGGGAACTGATTCTAGTCGTGTGACCAGTGCAGACCAAGATAAGATCAGCCTGCTGGTGGCAGCTGGTTTCAGTCATGCGACAAGTGTAGACCAAGATAAGATAAGCCTGCTGGTAACAGCTGATTCTAGTCATGGAACCAGTGTAGACCAATATAAGATCAACCTGCTGGCAAAAACTGCTTTTACTCATGCAACCATAGGTCAGCCTGCTGGTGGCAATTGATTCCAGTCGTGCGACCAGTGTAGACTAAGATAAGACCATCATGCTAGTGGAAACTGATTTTTCCTTTATAAAAATAGGAAATGTGCTCCCTTTCATTTAAATTTACCCATTATCATTTTCAAAAATTAAAAGAAAATTATTTTTAAGCTTCAATTTAATGGTTTGCCTGGCTATTTGCTGATGAAAGAGACTTGCCTTTTTAAACATTAGCTTTAAGTGTTGTGTATTTATTTACAACTTTAATGAGTATACATGATGTAATAACTTGGAAGCATTTATCAGTATAAGCTGAAAAATTCTTTTTAACCTTAGACCCAGTACACTATTAGCATTACTATCTCATTTAAAACATTTTTTAGATGAAAAATGTTCTGGTGATTTTATACAAGCATCTTGACAATTCAGCCAATGATGATTTACCAAGATTTAAATCTTTGATAATATGTATTCTCTATCTTTCTCTCATATGTTTACCTTACGTTATTATTTTTTTATAATTCAAATTTATTTATCAATGCCCTCAAAACATGAACACTGCATGCGGTACTAACACTTGTCTCTAAATTGAAATAACTTTTTGACAAATATTCTAAATAAAGAAGGGGCATAACTCTAAGAAGTATGTCCCTTGTAAAAAAAACTGCACCTTGTCACGATAGGCAAGTATCCAAGTTTCATGTTGACAACTTTAAGAATGTTTAGATATTTATACATTAAACAACGACAACAACGCAGCGACCATAATAGCTGGACTTTCTCTCTAAAAATGATATATGTGTCAATATATTTATAACTGACCTAAAACCGTGATTGAATGCTGCAATTTGCAGGAATAAAATCTCAAGTGCAAAAAAGACCCGAAATGTGCAGCTTCATTTAAGATGTCTATATTTTATCAAAACCATCAATATATCAAGATTATTTTGCCCGAGGTTGTTATGGTAAAATTTTCATTTTCTCCCATGTTAAGGTCTGTTTTTATAACTCATCTTATTATATAACAACATTTATAATACTGTTTTATGATGTCAATAAATCAAAGACAGACGGACGGCGAAGGCAAAAACTGTATGTTTAAAAAATATGGAATACACGATAAAGAAAAAAAAAACAAAATATCTGTGATCTTGGGAGTATTGCTCCCAAATACCACTTTTACAAAATTTGTTTATTTTTTACGTCGATTTTAACACTTTTTGGTCATACTCGGCAGTCAGTTCACCTAACCTGCCTTCCTGGATAACTTACCAGTAATTACCAATTTCTCTCTGGAAGTGACCCATTACTAGTCCCGCATGATTACAGAGTCTGCGAAGAGTGACAGATGAGGATCAACTGTGACAGTCATATAAAATATTTGCCTTGCAAGAAAATTGAAACAGTGACCCCTGGATTACAAAACCGATACGAGCTCTATCAAGCTAAGAATACACCACCAATAGGAGCATCGAAGGTCACACTCACTCCTGAAACAGATGCAGCTGTTAAAACTTGAAATATAGGCGACAAAGATAAATTATTATACTAGTAGTTGATGAATACCATTGTTCGATCCTGTCAACAAAGTGTTTAATATATTGACCAGAAGAACTTAAAATTTATTAATCAAATATCATATTGGTTTGGTTTTAAATCAAGCCAAAACTGTAAAGGTTCTCAATCTAGCTTTACTCATGTCTGGAAAAGTTCATTACTGGGCGAAGATAATCTCATATGTGTTACGTTTTTGGAGAGGTTCATCACATGAAAGAAGACACTGTCCCTAACAAATTCAAACGCGCAGTGGTAGAGACTTTATATATAGATTAAGACTTTGTTTATTTATAAACATAACTCTTATTATATATGTACTTTGAATACTGATGACAGTTATTTCAAAATGTTTAGAAAAGTTTGAAACTTTTAGCAATTTCTATAACAAAAGGCTACGATCCTTAACCCATAGCCAACTTATATGCATACTGTAACCCAATTTAGGAAATGTGAAAAAGTTACAGCTTAGAAAGTCTCTGTTATTTAACAGACATGAATATTGTATGTAAACAGGAATAAAAATATGATTTACCTATTTTAAGTGGGGTTTTATCCGTTTAATAATGATTTCGTGTATGCGCCATTTGCTTTTAAGAGCTGGCTCTCATATAAGCAATTTGGAAGTATTCTTTTTAAAAATTCAAACAATAATTTTTGCAGCTGATATAAAAGTTAAAACTCTTAAACAAAATTCTTTGTAATTAAGATAAAAACCTTCAAAAATGTTTGACTTGTCTTTTTTGGCTTCATTACTGTCGTATTTCGAAAACAAGAATGCTTCCGCAACAGGAGGCAACATGTAAATTTTGTCCTTCCTTGTCAAGGCACAAATCTGCAGCCAAAGAAAACATCATATCCACTGGCATCCATGGACTGAAATGTCCATTCGACTAGGTACCAAAGAATGATGAATCCAATTATGACTAAAATACTCAAGAGATGAAAATGCATGCAATATCAAATTCATTAGAGGAATTACAATGATTCAAGTGAGATCTAATTGCTTATAGTGACATACATGTATAATTAGATTTAAAAAAATGAAGAAATTGATTGGATTTTATTTTATCAATTTGTACAATGTGGTCTACTTAATTGTTGTTTTGTGCAGTACAAATTGATTATCTTACAAAAGGGAGGTAACTTGGTATTACTTTTCTTTGCTAAGAAATTTTACTTAACACATTGAAATACAAAAGACCTTGATTTTTGACCTTGACAACGACCTTGGTGAAATTGAAGATTCAGAGAAAATTTGACTTATAATTTAAATTTAACAAAAAGTGCAGGCTGGCACTGCTCTATACTGGTTGTAAAAGAAGTTCATTTTTGGTCCAAGAAGATAAAGGGGTTACATAAAGCAAATTATAACTATTCTCAAAAGGTCATGTAGCTTATTATATCTATTTCCAACTTTTGTTGTATAACAGATGATAATGTGATTGCTTTAATACTTGACATGTTTACGGTGGCATACTAGTGCCATTTGCAAATTTATTTTTTGTTTAGTTTTTGATACTTTTTTTTTTGCGTACATATTTGTTTTAGTTTTGCGTACATATTTTATTTTAGTTTTAATTACATATTTTTGCCAATCAAAACAGCCTTCACATCTCATAACAGCCCATATTTGAGGAAAAAAACACGGTAACAATAGTAGCACAGTGGTTTGGTCACATTTCGGCCCATATTTGGAATCGGCCTAGTCGTTTTCGGCTGGGCAAGTCTGGTTTCGGCTAAAAGGCAGAACCTTTTCGGCCCACTTTTTAAATTATAATTATGTATTTTATATAATTATTGTTTTTTTATTATTATATACAATTATATTAGTGTCTGTTGATTGGTGAGCAGTTATTATTTCATGGATATGCACCATGGGGCATTGACTTTAAACCAAGCCGACCTC